GGGGGGGGAACTCAACAGTAAGCTCTTTATATATAAATCGTTATCATAATCCAAAGGCATATACAATTATATAAGTAGTGAAGTTGGAGAAATAGAGAAAACCTGAGAATGCAACAGAGAAGATGAGCCAGAAACAGAGTAGAAACGCAAATAGCCATTTGCATAAAACAAGCTCCATGCACAATGCAGGCCACAATGGCATAAAAAAAAGCTAAGATATAGAACCCATCTGCAGCAAGAAGTAAGAACCCCAGTAAAAAATTCAAACCCTCCAAAAACACTCACCTGAGAGAGAGAATCTCAGCAATTTCTTTCTCATTACTCAATAAATTCCAAAAAGAACCTTGTAAACAACCCTAAAAAATGAAAGATCTTAGTGGGTTTGTTTAATTACCCCTTAGAATACAGAGTATTCACACAATCCCTAGAGTGGATGCAAAGACAAAACCCACAAATAAAAAACTTCAACAGCAGAACAAAAGTATAATATTTTAGAGTTTAAGAAAGAAAAGATAAAAGTGATCAGATGTTATCATACATTAATAGCAGATAGTATAATGCAAAAGAGAAAGAAAGGGTGTCCTTTGCTTGGAGTTTTGGTATTTGTTTGGTGGGGTTTGGGTTTTTGATTGATGAAGCAAACAGAGGTACTGAGAAAATGTTAAAAAGGCATCTTTACACTGGGAAAAGGTGGAGAAGAAGTCGTTGCACCATGTTATTGTTTGGAATGAGAATAACGTTTTTCATTGATGAAGTGACAAAAAAAAAAGGTTAATTGTAAGTTGTACTTTGAAAGATAGTTCGAATTTTAATTTAGAGTTTTAAAAATTAAAAATTTTAATTTATACCTTCAAAGATAGAAATTTGTATCAATGTGTACCCCAAAAATAAAAAATCTCAATTTGCACCCTCAAGAATAGAATTTATATCAATGTGCACCTAAAATTAAATTTGATAAATTATACCTAAATCTCCTCATGTTTGTCATTTAATCATTTGGACTCCTTCACATTTAGAATATTACTCCTACATTTTATGATGTTTATGCACGTGTAACATATAATCCCTTTTCGTTGATATCGGTTAATATAACTGTTAAAAAATATGATTTTATCCTAATAAAAAATTATAATTTCATATTACCCTTTATTTTGTGGGTCCGATATAATCTAAAGTTCAAAATCAAGGTTATCATTTGAATGTCCAATAGAATGCCGATATTTATATAATATTTTTTATATCCAATGTAATATGTCACTCAATGTGCAACCCTTTATTCTACTAAACATTCAAATGATAAACTTGATTTTGAACTTTAGAGTATATTAGACCCAAAAATAAAGGGTAATATAAAATTATAAATTTTTATTATGATAAAATCATATTTTTTAACGGTTATATTAACAGATATCAACGAAAATGGATTACGTGTTACATGTGCACAAACGTCATGAAATGTAAGAGTAATATTCTAAATGTGAAGTGGTCCAAATGATTAAGTGACAAATATAAGGAGATCTAGGTATAATTTATTAATTTAGTTTTAGGTACACATTGATACAAATTTTTATTTTTGAATGTATAGATTGAGATTTTTTATCTTTAAGACTGCACATTGATACAAATTTCTATTTTTAATGGTGTAAATTGAGATTTTTGATATTTGGGGGTGCACATTGATACAAATTTCTATTTTTAAGTGTGTAAATTGAGATTTTTTTATCTTTGAAGGTACAAATTGAGATTTGAACGATCGTTTAAGGTACAATTTATAATTAACCCAAAAAAAAAAAGGTAATTGAGAAGCTTTTTTCAAAAAGATATCTTTAGATCGGCTATAACCCTTTTTTTTTATATCTAAATTTAAATTTAATTAAAAATAATTTAAAATATTTTTTCAATATTATAAAACCTAAATCAAAGGAAATTTTTTTAAACCCAAATTTTTAATAGTGAGATTATACCCTATTTTAAAGATTTAATAATTATATTTTATCCTCTTTTAAATTTAAATTTGAGTTTTTTCGAGTTTTATATTAAATCAAATTTTTTAATTTTTTTTTACTCAAATTCCATTAAATTTTCGGAAAAACAAGGTAAGGAAAGGAANCATTGAGAGTTTTATATTAAATCAAATTTTTTAATTTTTTTTTACTCAAATTCCATTAAATTTTCGGAAAAACAAGGTAAGGAAAGGAAGGGGGATAAACCGGTAAAGAGTAAATATTTATTGCGTCAATAGCATCCGCAGGCTAAAGGCNTTTTCGGAAAAACAAGGTAAGGAAAGGAAGGGGGATAAACCGGTAAAGAGTAAATATTTATTGCGTCAATAGCATCCGCAGGCTAAAGGCAACCGACCCGCCACGTGACAGGTCACGGATAGCCTGTAACCCAGACGGATAGGGCCATGGACTGTAATCTTAGCCCAATAGACTAGATGGGCCAACCCGTTTGAAGCCCCTTAAGTGTCCTACTGTGTAGGTCCGTGGCCCGGGTCACCAAAAGGTCAGCTAGATTATGTTTTTGAAAAAAATTCAAATTGTCCACTAGATTAATTTTTTTGGAAGTTTAAATTACGTGCAACAAGTGTCATTCAAAAAAGGGAGAATCTCATTTCGCAACCGAAAATTTTAAGATTTTTCACTACTTTCAAAGATAAATTTTTTCACATGATATCCTTAATGTATTAAAAGTGTTGTAAGTTAGTCTTTCTGCTAGTTTTTGTTATTTATTCTGTCAAAATTATTTAATTAATGTTAATGAAATGAGTAATCAAAACTANAGGTAGTCTTTCTGCTAGTTTTTGTTATTTATTCTGTCAAAATTATTTAATTAATGTTAATGAAATGAGTAATCAAAACTAACAGAAAGATCATATTACAATCCTTTTAATACATTTATAATAAACTCTCGTCCACAGTATAATACATTACGAATATTATGTGAAAAAATTTATTGTGCGAAACATAAAGAGTTAAAGAACTTGTATTTACTTCATTCTGGTAGGATGTNTTATTTATTCTGTCAAAATTATTTAATTAATGTTAATGAAATGAGTAATCAAAACTACCAGAAAGATCATATTACAATCTTTTTATTACATTTATAATAAACTCTCGTCCACAGTATAATACATTAAGGATATTATGTGAAAAAATTTATTGTGCGAAACATAAAGAGTTAAAGAACTTATATTTACTTCATTCTGGTAGGATGANTAATACATTACGAATATTATGTGAAAAAATTTATTGTGCGAAACATAAAGAGTTAAAGAACTTGTATTTACTTCATTCTGGTAGGATGTCGGTATTAGTCGTATTAGGATTGGCCCAATTTTTGGCCCATTAAGGGGCTGTCGGTAGGCCTTGCGTGGAGGTCATCGTGAGAAGAACTAATTGTGGCAGACATAAGTTTTAAATAGTTGTATCAGGATTGGCCCAAATTTTTGCCCATTAAGGGGTGGTCGGTAGGTCATGGGTGTAGGTTTTTCTGGTAGGCTGGCTAAAGCCTAATCTATTTGACAGTCAAGCCCGATAACCTCCACCCATGAAGGATCTGTAGGCCTAAAAAATGGATCATGCTGGGTTGGCCCAGCCCATTATCAAGGTTTCTGTTGTGCTCGGGTGTTGTCGATTCGAGTCGAGACTTAAATAACAGTGAAAATTCGAACCAAATAGAATACGAGAATCTCTTTTGCTAATAAATATAGACACATACTCATTGTGTCGTGCTTAGGTCAATTAACAAAACTATGATTTATTCATTCTCAGCTAAAAACCATCATCCATATGCCCCCATAAAAAATAAAAAATAAATCATTCAATCTAAATGCNAGTGAAAATTCGAACCAAATAGAATACGAGAATCTCTTTTGCTAATAAATATAGACACATACTCATTGTGTCGTGCTTAGGTCAATTAACACAACTATGATTTATTCATTCTCAGCTAAAAACCATCATCCATATGCCCCCATAAAAAATAAAAAATAAATCATTCAATCTAAATGTAATAAAAGCACTCAGGAATAGAATACTCGTTGGAGACAAGAATGAGTGAATCTAATTTCGAGAGCATGCTTTACTCCCATAGGAGCATAGAGTTTCTAAGTAAAGGCAGGCACAACTCTCTCTTTCATATCCTACGTGTCAATAAGATAAGTTTGTTGTAAAGTTTATTGATCAGAAGATTCTTNAAGCACTCAGGAATAGAATACTCGTTGGAGACAAGAATGAGTGAATCTAATTTCGAGAGCATGCTTTACTCCCATAGGAGCATAGAGTTTCTAAGTAAAGGCAGGCGCAACTCTCTCTTTCATATCCTACCTGTCAATAAGATAAGTTTGTTATAAAGCTTATTGATCAGAAGATTCTCAAGAATGAAAAAGTCGACTAAAAGACTATTTCATAATCAACTCTTGTTGCNTTATTGATCAGAAGATTCTTAAGAATGAAAAAGTCGACTAAAAGACTATTTCATAATCAACTCTTGTTGCCGAATTGAGGGGGTTTGGCTTGTACTAGGATCTTCTAATACTACAAGAATTCATATTTCAAAAAAAAATCATATATTTTCTCTCAAATGAAACCATTAGAATATGTATAGTCGGCCAAAATCGAATTATTCCTAACTCAAAGCAGAATTTATTATCTATTATTATTTTTTGTGTTAGTGCATCGAGTTATTTTTGGATATGTACGAAGAAAAACAAACCTAATCACTCATTTTGTTTTGAATTCCTATTGTATTATTGTATCACATAGGGAGTTGCACCACAAAAAAGAAGAAGATTATTTATGATAGTGATAGGACTAATAATCGAGCTGAGTCTGTCGAATTTGTTTTTTTAAACGAGCCTAAAAATTGTTCAAGCTCAATTAATTTAAAACATGGGCCGAACTTGAGTTGAGTTCTATTCGAACTGAGTTTAAATAACTTAACTCAATTATTAACCCTAAATAGGGAAATGCTTAAATAGACTTGCTCAACTCTTTTCACTGTAAGGCTCTTCCCATGTCACGGTTGGGCTAAACTTGGATTCCTTGGAGTGCTGTAACATATTCTTGAGAACTACAATCTCAAACCGAGAATAAAATATAAAATAAATAATTCCTGGTGCATGATGTTGAGAGAGAAGTTTTCATGGTTATTGTTTAGTTTCTAAGTAGTGAGTCGCTACTTAACTCGATGCAAGCTTGATTTAGCCCAAGGAATGTCTAAGGCTCTCATGCCTCTCTTGGTCGAACCAACACAACAGATGATTTTGAACAAATTTTTCCACATTTTTAGAGTAAAAAGTGAAACAACAAGAAAGTTTTCTTTATATTTATGAATAAATAATTTTTTTTTTAAAAATAATAAATAGATCAAGCTAATAGATCATAGGTAATAAGCGTGCTTAATTGGAGTTGTATGAAGAATATTTTAAAATTTTCATTTTGTGACATAATATTTTGTATGTTGTTTTAAAACTAAATACTTTTTTATTTGGCTTCATTAAAATTTATTTATTATAGATTAAGCATATTTTTTATTTACGCCACCACCTATATGTTGTGCATATGGTTAAAAGAAACAAATTTTAGTCGCAAAGTTTCAGATTCATATAAATTGAACATTACAATGATAGGATAGGATAGGACTCTACTATCACTGTTTGCAGTAACTAGGTGAAATCTTATTCATTATATTTTCACTCAATAGTAACTTACTTATTATCATGAATTTAAGATTGATTTATTAAACCAAGTGAATTTCACTTGAACAATTATTGATTTATTTGGAAGAAAAGCCAATATTTATAAATAAGTATTTATTAATTTATATAGAACCTATTTTATTTATTTATTATTAATTAGTAATATCGTATCATCAATATTAAATACACTCCCTCGTTGCACACAATAAGGGACCTTTCATTAAATAGACGGCAGTTTTTGCTCAGCCGTGGTTTTCTCACCCAAACNGTCGCTACTTAACTCGATGCAAGCTTGATTTAGCCCAAGGAATGTCTAAGGCTCTCGTGCCTCTCTTGGTCGAACCAAAACAACAGATGATTTTGAACAAATTTTAGTCTCAAAGTTTCAGATTCATATAAATTGAACATTACAATGATAGGATAGGACTCTACTATCACTGTTTGCAGTGNATGATTTTGAACAAATTTTAGTCTCAAAGTTTCAGATTCATATAAATTGAACATTACAATGATAGGATAGGACTCTACTATCACTGTTTGCAGTGACTAGGTGAAATCTTATTCATTATATTTTCACTCAATAGTAACTTACTTATTATCATGAATTTAAGATTGATTTATTAAATCAAGTGAATTTCACTTGAACAATTATTGATTTATTTGGAAGAAGAGCTAATATTTATAAATAAGTATTTATTAATTTATATAGAACCTATTTTATTTATTTATTTATTATTAATTAGTAATATCGTATCATCAATATTAAATACACTCCCTCGTTGCACACAATAAGGAACCTTTCATTAAATAGACGGCAGTTTTTGCTCAGCCGTGGTTTTCTCACCCAAACAATGCAGTTTTCTTTCTGGAAAGGCCACGTGTATGGCTAGGAGTAGCCGACCTGGTCGTTATCAAAGGCAACACCTCAATCAAAATACTGCTAAATACCAATCCATTGTTTTACGACTCAAAATTAGAGAATGGAGACAGATTTATGGCTTGGTTAAAGTTAAAGCAGCAACACCGTGCGTGGGGCAACGCTATCCCGGATTTGCTGACCCAGACAGACCCCTCCCTCCTCCGACAGTGGAAAAAAATAAAAAGTTAGAGCGACAATACTTTTTCTCCTCAGAATAACGTTACAGGGATCTTTCTTAGTGGCTTTGTGTGATGATCTTATCATTCTTTATTAGTAGAAGATTGACAATAAATTTCATTATTAATAAAAATTTATTATCAATCAAAAANTTTTCTCCTCAGAATAACGTTACAGGGATCTTTCTTAGTGGCTTTGTGTGATGATCTGATCATTCTTTATTAGTAGAAGATTGACAATAAATTTCATTATTAATAAAAATTTATTATCAATTCAGTGACTATGATTAAGATCATTAAATTAGGTATAAAAAAGATTTCATTTGATTAATCTAAACTACGATATTTTGTAAAAAAGAAAGTCGCTTGGACTATGTAATCNTAAAAATTTATTATCAATTCAGTGACTATGATTAAGATCATTAAATTAGGTATAAAAAAGATTTCATTTGATTAATCTAAACTACGATATTTTGTAAAAAAGAAAGTTGCTTGGACTATGTAATCAAAAAAAAAAAAATGTGATTGTCACTTTATATGTTTCATAAATATTGATTGCAATGTGACTCACATTAATTTCTGTCAAATTCACGTTTATCGCGTGTCAAAGAAAATTATATTAAAACTATTTTGTTTGGAAGAATAATTAATTATAATAATACTTAATATTTAGAGTAACAACAGTAATAAGCTAGCAGCCCGCTTCCCACCGAAAAGTGTGGGAATAAGGCATATTAATAAATTAACACCTAAGGAAAGCAATTAATTAATTAATTAATTAATGATTAAGAATCAAGNAAAGAAAATTATATTAAAACTATTTTGTTTGGAAGAATAATTAATTATAATAATACTAAATATTTAGAGTAACAACAGTAATAAGCTAGCAGCCCGCTTCCCACCGAAAAGTGTGGGAATAAGGCATACTAATAAATTAACACATAAGGAAAGCAATTAATTAATTAATTAATTAATGATTAAGAATCAAATTGTACGTTCTTAAAGACTTTATAGGCATCGAATCTCTTAATGATCAATAATTACATAATAGATTCAAAGGATGTAACATGTCTTGTTGGCTTTCACTGAAAGTTACCAAGCTCACTTCAAGCGGTCATGGTTGTTTGGCGTGACAGTTTTACACCCGATTTATAAATTTAATGTGAGATTTATATTAGGTTTAGCGTGTTTAAACAAATGAACATGTTACACTCGCTATGTAAATAATTTGGACACGACGCTGACTAAATATGATTTATACATGATATATATTAATGTAATTTTGCATAATTATAAATGAGTTGATCGGGTACGAGTTAAAAAAAATTTTGCACGACACAATTTAAAAACAATACGAATGTGACTCTTTTGCCACACGATTTAGGGGTGTCCTGTCGTGTTACTTTCAACTGACTTATTTTTGTGTTGGATTACTTTAAATACATGTCAAGTTCGTGTCAATATTTGTAATTCGTGTTTGTGTCGAAAGTGAAACGAACTTGTTAATTTCGATAATATTTGTAACTTGTTAAATACTTATGTANATATTTGTAATTCGTGTTTGTGTCGAAAGTGAAACGAACTTGTTAATTTCGATAATATTTGTAACTTGTTAAATACTTATGTATTATATACGAACCTCATTAATTTTGTTATTCGTATCGAACGTTAATTTGATTTATTTATTTTTTGTGTTAATTAATTATATTACTTTTAAATTTTGTGTTAAATTAGATTCACGTCAAATTCGTATTAATAAATAAAGTTGACACCCCTGACANTTTTGTGTTAATTAATTATATTACTTTTAAATTTTGTGTTAAATTAGATTCACGTCAAATTCGTATTAATAAATAAAGTTGACACCCCTGACACGACCTTTTGCAAGCCTAACGTGAGACTTGTTGAACATATGGTTTTCATTACTTTCTTTATTCACCTTTCCATGCTAAACCCAATTACGATGAACCATTCTCCCTCCGGTCTGGTTAAACATCATTTCTGCAATTTAAATTTTGGATGTATGCAATCATTTAGGATTCATGTGCAGCAGTCACCTATTCCTATTTATGTGAAAAGAGACTCAAATTATGGCCGCACGAAGGTTATATCTGGACTAATGTTATTAAGGTTTAAATAATTGACATAATTTATTAATATAATAATATATCAAGATTAAAAAAATAATAATAATAATGTACATAATTTCAACCGTATATAGAGAGCTTCTTTCATACTTTTCTTTGTTTCGATAGTTAAAAATATTTGGGTCAGTTTATGCGTATTTCGATTAATCTTCTTTTCAATCTATGACTTGTCATCTATGTCAAAACTGAGGTATTTATGACTTTGAAAAATTGCTAATATTGTAATTCAAGACTTTTAAATTTGTAATTCGTCCTTCTTTTTCCCAGGATTACGCCTATGTTCCTTCTCTCCTACTTCAAACGTGTGGCATCGTTATAAAAGTGGATCTCCTTAGCCCCCTTTCTCGCCCTCTCTCTCAACATGTAAGATGCTGTAGAGCTGTAGATTTATGTGATGTTTAAGTTATTACAGAAGATTTAACTTAAATATTTATTCTTTCTTTGAGTTACGGTTGCAACCCAAAGATATCTCCGCCATGGGGGCTTACAGATATAATCGCATGAGCTTTGGAGCAGAGAAGGTTAAATCTTCTTCTTCGGGAGTTCGCCCATCAGAACGTCGGAAGAGACGGTCGAACAAAGTCTTCAAGAACAGGGAAGAGATAGAGAACCAAAGGATGACTCACATTGCCGTTGAAAGAAATCGCCGGAGACAGATGAACCACTACCTCTCTGGCCTCCGGTCCTTGATGCCACCTTCTTATTCTCAAAGGGTCCTCTCTCTCTCTCTCTCCAAATTAGTGTAGATGTATGTATGATCATATACTAATTCGTACATGTGTACTACTTTGCATGCATGGGTTTTGATAATATAATAAGTAATTAGTTGGTCATAGGTGGAGTTTTTTTTAATCATTTTTCCCTTTTGTTGTTACAATTTTGTTCCATATGTTTTATAAATACGTATTTACATTAAAAATGTGTATTTAAACCACTTTTTAATATAAACATAATTAGAAAAGTTCATAAAGAAACAATTAAATGGGAAAAGAAACGATAATCTAGTAATTAAGTTGTCATATGGGTGTGTGTATAAGATTTATATTCTCTCAATTACAATTTTATTAAATTTTATATCACCTACCATGTATAGTTGAGCGACCCGTTTACAAATAGTAGACTCAATTGAATTTATGATAAATAATTTTATAATTAAGTAAAATTGAGTGAAGATATTTGCACTTAAGTGACCATTCGAAATTATTAGTTTTTCTTATAAATCGTTGGTTTTTTCTTTTATTTTTTTTTCAATTGCGAACAGGGGGATCAGGCATCAATTGTAGGAGGAGCAATTAATTTCGTGAAGGAGCTGGAACAACTCCTCCAAATCCTAGAAGCTCATAAGCAAATTAAGCAACAATCAAACACTTGTAACTCTTCTCTCTTTGCCAATTTCTTTACTTTTCCACAATACTCAACCTGTCCGACTGGCCACAACTCGGTGGTTGCCACCGAGTCGATGGCTGACAAGTGGTCTCCGGTGGCTGATATCGAAGTGAACATAGTGGAAAATCATGCCAACATCAAAGTACTATCAAGAAGAAGACCAAAGCAACTCTTGAAGATGGTTAATGGCTTTCACTCTATAAACCTTACTCTCATGCATCTCAACATCTCCACTGTTGAGAATATGGTACTCTACTCTTTCAGTGTAAAGGTTAGTTGATGACACAGCTCTTGATTTTTTTTAAAACATATAAGTCTTTATTAAAAAAAAAAATTTTGGTTTTTTAGCTATAAAAAAAAAATACCAAACAGGCTTTAAATTATTTTTAGGGTACAATAGACTTTTAGTCCCTAAAGTATGTGTGTAGTCTCTATTTGGTCTTTAATCTTCCAATTGTGTCTATTTGATCCCTAACGTTCTTAATTTGTATCTATCTGGTCCAATGCCAAAAGTTCGTAAAAAATCGTTAATGCCTTTGGTCACATGTCAATCACATGGGACTAAATCAAAACAAATTAGGAACTTTAGTAGAAAAATATACACAAAATTAGGAACCACGTGATTGATGCGTAATCAGAATCATTACAATTTTTTGACAGACGTTTGACATTAGACCACTTAGATACAAATTAGTAACTTTAGGAACCAAATAGACACTAAGCGCATACTTTGAGGGACAAAGTGTATTTTACCCTTATTTTTACATGTCTTTGTTTCAAATAAAAAACCAATGTTAATGTGGAATTATACTTTGATTTGAGACAGGTTGAAGATGACTGTCATCTGACTACTGTTAATGAGATTGCAACCGCAGTGCATGAGATGGTCGCCATGATCCAACCAGAGGTGTGATATCTACTTGAAATTGCATAAATATTTGCAAACAATATCCACTTCTTTATTAGGAAAAACATATGAAGTCGATTTTAAATAATTGAGATAAGATTTTGCTAAATCGAGTTAAATTATATGAAGTAATGCTAATTGGCTCTCGCATTAATGAATCAAATCATCTATCGTTGAGATAGTAGTAACTTCCAATAGTCAATGAGATCCACTGTTAATCTGACGGCAAATGTTAATTCTAGCAACAAATTTGGTGTTAAGTAGTACTATTGTTTTGTATGATATGCTGTACTATGAAATGGCTCGAGTGTGAACATGTTTATCCAAGGATTAATTGCATGCAGTGTTCGTCCCCAAAATTTGTATTTTGTCTCATTTTGATCTTCAATATTACAATTGTATTACATTGGTGTTTTATGTATTAAATTTATTTTTAAGTGATTCCTACATATAACGTCATCTAAGTTTTTAACGGTTTTTGCTCATGTGGTTCAAATATGCTTTCAAATGAAGGGTATTTTAGACAAATTACTATCTACTTGATCTAAAAATTATGATAATAGTCTCCAAAATAAAATAAAGTACAAATTTTGAGGACTACCGCTGCAACTAACCCTTTCTCCAATTTAGTCTTCATTTGTCAATGAAAAGTTGGATTGTTTTGGAGACAACATTTCCAATAGGGGTCCCAAACAGATTACAAAAGTACTAGTTTATTATTGGCCTATCTAGGCCAAAATTCAGGCCTGTAAATGTGGTCCGTGTGGACCATATTGATTAAGACTTGGCTCACAAAGTCATGAAATGAACTGCTGAGACCTAAATATTTTTCATCTTTGCTTGAATTAAATCGAAAACTTGCGGTTTCCTAATTTAGAGAAAAAGATGTGACAAATATCCTTAGAAAATTATTCATTTGTAATTAGTTAAATCCATGAAAATAATCTCTACCTAAGTTTATGATCATGATGCTTCAAAGATGAAGATCTAAAAGTTTCAAAGAAGGAGTTCAAATTTCAAAGCCGAATCAAGAAAGCCTCCATTGCAGTTTTAAAGTTTTAAGAAAGATAATTACCTAAATACTTAAAACCTTTGGTTTTTATACTTTAGCTCATTAGGTTTTTCGTGAATGACTCTTAGGCTTTCTTATGAAAAGATTTTGTAAATATTAAAAGTTGTTTTGAAAATATAGTTGGAGTTATGTGTCGGATCTTATTTGTACAATACTCTTGAGTGCTCAAAAGGATTAACTTTTCCAAGAGTATTCAAAAGGACAAATTTTTCCTTGATTTCTAACTTGAAANAGTGAAACGAACTTGTTAATTTCGATAATATTTGTAACTTGTTAAATACTTATGTACTATATACGAACCTCATTAATTTTGTTATTTGTATCGAACGTTAATTTGATTTATTTATTTTTTGTGTTAATTAATTATATTATTTTTAAATTTTGTGTTAAATTAGATTCACGTCAAATTCGTATTAATAAATAAAGTTGACACCCCTGACGCGACCTTTTGCAAGCCTAACGTGAGACTTGTTGAACATATGGTTTTCATTACTTTCTTTATTCACCTTTCCATGCTAAACCCAATTACGATGAACCATTCTCCCTCCGGTCTGGTTAAACATCATTTCTGCAATTTAAATTTTGGATGTATGCAATCATTTAGGATTCATGTGCAGCAGTCACCTATTCCTATTTATGTGAAAAGAGACTCAAATTATGGCCGCACGAAGGTTATATCTGGAGTAATGTTATTAAGGTTTAAAAAATTGACATAATTTATTAATATAATAATATGTCAAGATTAAAAAAAAAAAATAATGTACATAATTTCAACCGTATATAGAGAGCTTCTTTCATACTTTTCTTTGTTTCGATAGTTAGAAATATTTTGGTCAGTTTATGCGTATTTCGATTAATCTTCTTTTCAATCTATGGCAGGTCATATGTCAAAACTGAGGTATTTATGACTTTGAAAAATTGCTAATATTGTAATTCAAGACTTTTAAATTTATAATTCGTCCTTCTTTTTCCCAGGATTACCCCTATGTTCCTTCTCTCCTACTTCAAACGTGTGGCATCGTTATAAAAGTGGATCTCCTTTACCCCCTTTCTCTCCCTCTCTCTCAATATGTAAGATGCGGTAGAGCTGTAGATTTATGTGATGTTTAAGTTATTGCAGAAGATTTAACTTAAATATTTATTCTTTCTTTGAGTTACGGTTGCAACCCAAAGATATCTCCGCCATGGGGGCTTACAGATATAATCGCATGAGCTTTGGAGCAGAGAAGGTTAAATCTTCTTCTTCGGGAGTTCGCCCATCAGAACGTCGGAAGAGACGGTCGAACAAAGTCTTCAAGAACAGGGAAGAGATAGAGAACCAAAGGATGACTCACATTGCCGTTGAAAGAAATCGCCGGAGACAGATGAACCACTACCTCTCTGGCCTCCGGTCCTTGATGCCACCTTCTTATTCTCAAAGGGTCCTCTCTCTCTCTCTCTCCAAATTAGTGTAGATGTATGTATGATCATATACTAATTCGTACATGTGTACTACTTTGCATGCATGGGTTTTGATAATATAATAAGTAATTAGTTGGTCATAGGTGGAGTTTTTTTTAATCATTTTTCCCTTTTGTTGTTACAATTTTGTTCCATATGTTTTATAAATACGTATTTACATTAAAAATGTGTATTTAAACCACTTTTTAATATAAACATAATTAGAAAAGTTCATAAAGAAACAATTAAATGGGAAAAGAAACGATAATCTAGTAATTAAGTTGTCATATGGGTGTGTGTATAAGATTTATATTCTCTCAATTACAATTTTATTAAATTTTATATCACCTACCATGTATAGTTGAGCGACCCGTTTACAAATAGTAGACTCAATTGAATTTATGATAAATAATTTTATAATTAAGTAAAATTGAGTGAAGATATTTGCACTTAAGTGACCATTCGAAATTATTAGTTTTTCTTATAAATCGTTGGTTTTTTCTTTTATTTTTTTTTCAATTGCGAACAGGGGGATCAGGCATCAATTGTAGGAGGAGCAATTAATTTCGTGAAGGAGCTGGAACAACTCCTCCAAATCCTAGAAGCTCATAAGCAAATTAAGCAACAATCAAACACTTGTAACTCTTCTCTCTTTGCCAATTTCTTTACTTTTCCACAATACTCAACCTGTCCGACTGGCCACAACTCGGTGGTTGCCACCGAGTCGATGGCTGACAAGTGGTCTCCGGTGGCTGATATCGAAGTGAACATAGTGGAAAATCATGCCAACATCAAAGTACTATCAAGAAGAAGACCAAAGCAACTCTTGAAGATGGTTAATGGCTTTCACTCTATAAACCTTACTCTCATGCATCTCAACATCTCCACTGTTGAGAATATGGTACTCTACTCTTTCAGTGTAAAGGTTAGTTGATGACACAGCTCTTGATTTTTTTTAAAACATATAAGTCTTTATTAAAAAAAAATTTTTTGGTTTTTTAGCTATAAAAAAAAAAATACCAAACAGGCTTTAAATTATTTTTAGGGTACAATAGATTTTTAGTCCCTAAAGTATGTGTGTAGTCTCTATTTGGTCTTTAATCTTCCAATTGTGTCTATTTGATCCCTAACGTTCTTAATTTGTATCTATCTGGTCCAATGCCAAAAGTTCGTAAAAAATCGTTAACGCCTTTGGTCACATGTCAATCACATGGGACTAAATCAACACAAATTAGGAACTTTAGGAGAAAAATATACACAAAATTAGGAACCACGTGATTGATGCGTAGTCAGAATCATTACAATTTTTTGACAGACGTTTGAAATTAGACCACTTAGATACAAATTAGTAACTTTAGGAACCAAATAGACACTAAGCGCATACTTTGAGGGACAAAGTGTATTTTACCCTTATTTTTACATGTCTTTGTTTCAAATAAAAAACCAATGTTAATGTGGAATTATACTTTGATTTGAGACAGGTTGAAGATGACTGTCATCTGACTACTGTTAATGAGATTGCAACCGCAGTGCATGAGATGGTCGCCATGATCCAACCAGAGGTGTGATATCTACTTGAAATTGCATAAATATTTGCAAACAATATCCACTTCTTTATTAGGAAAAACATATGAAGTCGATTTTAAATAATTGAGATAAGATTTTGCTAAATCGAGTTAAATTATATGAAGTAATGCTAATTGGCTCTCGCATTAATGAATCAAATCATCTATCGTTGAGATAGTAGTAACTTCCAATAGTCAATGAGATCCACTGTTAATCTGACGGCAAATGTTAATTCTAGCAACAAATTTGGTGTTAAGTAGTACTATTGTTTTGTATGATATGCTGTACTATGAAATGGCTCGAGTGTGAACATGTTTATCCAAGGATTAATTGCATGCAGTGTTCGTCCCCAAAATTTGTATTTTGTCTCATTTTGATCTTCAATATTACAATTGTATTACATTGGTGTTTTATGTATTAAATTTATTTTTAAGTGATTCCTACATATAACGTCATCTAAGTTTTTAACGGTTTTTGCTCATGTGGTTCAAATATGCTTTCAAATGAAGGGTATTTTAGACAAATTACTATCTACTTGATCTAAAAATTATGATAATAGTCTCCAAAATAAAATAAAGTACAAATTTTGAGGACTACCGCTGCAACTAACCCTTTCTCCAATTTAGTCTTCATTTGTCAATGAAAAGTTGGATTGTTTTGGAGACAACATTTCCAATAGGGGTCCCAAACAGATTACAAAAGTACTAGTTTATTATTGGCCTATCTAGGCCAAAATTCAGGCCTGTAAATGTGGTCCGTGTGGACCATATTGATTAAGACTTGGCTCACAAAGTCATGAAATGAACTGCTGAGACCTAAATATTTTTCATCTTTGCTTGAATTAAATCGAAAACTTGCGGTTTCCTAATTTAGAGAAAAAGATGTGACAAATATCCTTAGAAAATTATTCATTTGTAATTAGTTAAATCCATGAAAATAATCTCTACCTAAGTTTATGATCATGATGCTTCAAAGATGAAGATCTAAAAGTTTCAAAGAGTGAAGGAGTTCAAATTTCAAAGCCGAATCAAGAAAGCCTCCATTGCAATTTTAAAGTTTTAAGAAAGATAATTACCTAAATACTTAAAACCGTTGGTTTTTATACTTTAGCTCATTAGGTTTTTCGTGAATGACTCTTAGGCTTTCTTATGAAAAGATTTTGTAAATATTAGAAGTTGTTTTGAAAATATAGTTGGAGTTATGTGTCGGATCTTATTTGTACAATACTCTTGAGTGCTCAAAAGGATTAACTTTTCCAAGAGTATTCAAAAGGACAAATTTTTCCTTGATTTCTAACTTGAAAATCAGCTTGGATTGTCGTTTTATGAGTCTCCTAAATTTCAATAGGTTGGTTTTCCTCCCTGGTCTCAAGGTACTACAATCAATAAGAAATATTACACATGGAGTCATAGCAGTAAAATGACACAAAAATGGAAGAAATAAAATATGATAAGCAAGTAATTGCAGCAGAGTAGTTGTATGCCTTCTTGAATGATGACTAGTAGAAGAACTAAAGCACAAACATGTAGACAAAGAGAGACTCATAAAAGAACACTTTCAGCTTAAAGAATACCAAGTTAAATTAAGTTTAACCTTCGGGACTATTACCTAAGCAACCCACTATTATATCAATTCAAAAATTAGCATTCTGAAAAAAAATCAAAACAATTCAATAATCATTCCATCGCAATACAAAACACAAGAATTTCACGTTTCACCGCATGAAATATTAGAATTATAAGGTCATAATCGTCTTATAGTATAAGGTCATACTATATAATATGTGCATGCCAAATTCTAGAGAATTTAATTTTTTGCCACCATGTGAAGGAGATTGCAACTTTAGATTTTTTCAGGAGTAGTTCAGTCCAGAAAAGGTCAATACATTGTTATCACACATATTCATATATATATATATAAATGGCTATATCAAAAAGAATAGGAATCACAGATCTGGCAAGAACTAATTGTTGACTTACGATATATCATATTGCATCAAACTCAAATATACCAAGACGCAAGTTGGATGCAATTCAATCTCGCCACATGTCAACAATGACCAACGACAGCATTTCCACTTTCCAATACAAGAAATTCGAGGAGAAAACTTGTCACATTGAAAATATGAAAACAAATTCAGCAAAATAAAATTTTGAAATTAGACCCAAACAATTTGATGCTTGACTCAAATGCTATAAAAAAAGAGGCAATACTTGATTCTTTATCACACCGTACCAGATAAATGAATTTTCTCAATATTCGCCTTCTTTTTCTTTCTATTATCATTGTGTTTTAAACTCACAAAATATTTAGACCAAAAAACTCGACTTACTTTACTACTATAACAATAGAACCACACTCAGTAACCCCCTTATATACTTTGAACTAAGGTTTTTTAAGGAATACCTGTACTCATACCCACGTACTACTGGTATTTAAAATAAATTCTTACCCATTTAACAATTTAAGAGATTTTCAAGTATGATCAGAGGCCTTATGATCTCCATCAGTGAGAGTTTATCGGGATGGTCGTTGGGCGCTCTTCCTTGCCCCCATCCCTTATTTAACCACCAAAAAAAAAAAAAAAAAGTCTTTACCAGTGGAGTTTCTCTTGTGCTAAATCATACTTTTGAAGTGTTGATCCTAGTTAACAAATATTTTACATGTGTTTTAATCCAAACTTCTCCAAGGACGAGGACTTAGAAATATTCCTTCTTGTCAAAACNTCAGTCCAGAAAAGGTCAATACATTGTTATCACACATATTCATATATATATATATATATATATATATATATATATAAATGGCTATATCAAAAAGAATAGGAATCACAGATCTAGCAAGAACTAATTGTTGACTTACGATATATCATATTGCATCAAACTCAAATATACCAAGACGCAAGTTGGATGCAATTCAATCTCGCCACATGTCAACAATGACCAACGACAGCATTTCCACTTTCCAATACAAGAAATTCGAGGAGAAAACTTGTCACATTGAAAATATGAAAACAAATTCAGCAAAATAAAATTTTGAAATTAGACCCAAACAATTTGATGCTTGACTCAAATGCTATAAAAAAAGAGGCAATACTTGATTCTTTATCACACCGTACCAGATAAATGAATTTTCTCAATATTCGCCTTCTTTTTCTTTCAATTATCATTGTGTTTTAAACTCACAAAATATTTAGACCAAAAAACTNCAATTATCATTGTGTTTTAAACTCACAAAATATTTAGACCAAAAAACTCGACTTACTTTACTACTATAACAACAGGAACCACACTCAGTAACCCCCTTATATACTTTGAACTAAGGTTTTTTAAGGAGTACCTGTACTCATACCCACGTACTACTGGTATTTAAAATAAATTCTTACCCACTTAACAATTTAAGAGATTTTCAAGCATGATCAGAGGCCTTATGATCTCCATCAGTGAAAGTCTATCGGGATGGTTATTGGACGCTCTTCCTTACCCCCCACCCCTTATTTAACCAGCAAAAAAGAAAAAAGAAAAGTCTTTACCAGTGGAGTTTCTCTTGTGCTAAATCATACTTTTGAAGTAGTTAACAAATATTATACAAGTGTGTTAATCCAAACTTCTCCAAGGACGAGGACTTAGAAATATTCCTTCTTGTCAAAACACAACAAGAACCNTTAATCCAAACTTCTCCAAGGACGAGGACTTAGAAATATTCCTTCTTGTCAAAACACAACAAGAACCACTTACCTTCCAAAATCAGGATAATTAAAATTTTACAAATTATTTTAAAAAGTTTGTAGATTAATTGTAATATTTACCCTTAATTAATGTTGCTTCGGCCTTTTTGGGGGTTTTGTAGTGTTTAGTATATTTGAGCATTGATTGAAGTAGATTTCAAAGAGGTCCAAGCCCAATCAACTAGGTTAACATGTATGTCAATCAAGAGCCTCCTTATCCTTGAAAATAAAAACATTTTGATTATTTCGAGACGAATTTTTGATCTTGTTAGATTAATTTGGAATCTAATATTGGGCGGTAGATCTTATTTCACATAAGGGGTTATTTGCTAACAATGATAATTCTGATATTAGGTCTCAATGGTATTCTTTTATTCTGTTAAGGATTTTTAGAATAATAATATACAGAAACACGTGTCTTATGTTTTCTCTGAAAAATTATAAAAATCTGCTTTTATGGTCATAATAATGGGGAACATTACTTATTTGACTAATTCATCAAGTAAGTGACGGTATTAACCCTCACATAATTGGTATCAATTAAAGTAAAAAATATATATTTGAAATAATAAAAAATCTCATAAAATTACAAGGACTCCTCAAAGAGTAATGCTACTATTTGGACCTAAAAATCTGATCTAATTTGTTGACATAATGATGTGGCTTAATAGGAATCATTGGATCAACACCAAGATCCAATGTTTGATTGGACCTATAAGCAATCCAAAGATCATAGTAAATTAGATCAAATTTTTAAGTTCTAATAGCGTTGTTCTTCCTCAAAACACTTGTGCGCCTAAATAAAGNAAATCATAATAAATTAGGTCAAATTTTTAAGTCCTAATAGCGTTGTTCTTCCTCAAAACACTTGTGCGCCTAAATAAAGGAGTAAACATTGCCAGACAAAAATTTTAATTGTGTACAAAGTTAGCTAAGTAATAAAATATTCACAGGGTAACAACCATCAAGTTAGCTTGTATGAAAAGATTTTATGAATATTATCTTTAGCNAGATCATAGTAAATTAGATCAAATTTTTAAGTTCTAATAGCGTTGTTCTTCCTCAAAACACTTGTGCGCCTAAATAAAGGAGTAAACATTGCCGGACAAAAATTTTAATTGTGTACAAAGTTAGCTAAGTAATAAAATATTCACAAGGTAACAACCATCAAGTTAGCTTGTATGAAAAGATTTTATGAATATTATCTTTAGCTTGTAAGTTGAAACAAAAAATTTCTTGATACACATGGATTGCAATTGAATGCGTGCATCCTAAATACGAAATGTAGGCGTGATGAGCTCAAAAGGGATGTGTTTAGGACAATTCTCAGTTACAAAAGATTCATAATGTCCCTCGTCGAGTTAGCTTAAATAAGAAGATTTCATGGCTATTATTTTTAACTCTTAAGTTTAAAAATGTCTTGATATATCCGACAAACATATATTATAAGTGATTGTGTGCATTCTAAATGTCTAATGAGTTCAAATGANTTTCGGTTACAAAAGATTCATAATGTCCCTCGTCGAGTTAGCTTAAATAAGAAGATTTCATGGCTATTATTTTTAACTCCTAAGTTTAAAAATGTCTTGATATATCCGACAAACATATATTATAAGTGATTGTGTGCATTCTAAATGTCTAATGAGTTCAAATGAAAATAGTTATGACGTTTTTAACTTCAAATCTTATACAAACTTTATAAAATCTCACTTGAAGCAAATGGATTTTTTCAAAATATAATGATTATAATACAAATAAATTAAACCAAGTAAAGTAGGTACATTATAATGATGAATCATTTGAACCAAACTTTAAGTTTTATTAAATGCTTGGCCCTAGGCATAGGTCACTTAGGTGGCCTTTTGTTATTGGGAGATTTGAACTCAAATGGCCANTAAATTAAACCAAGTAAAGTAGGTACATTATAATGATGAATCATTTGAACCAAACTTTAAGTTTTATTAAATGGTTGGCCCTGGGCATAGGTCACTTAGGTGGCCTTTTGTTATTGGGAGATTTGAACTCAAATGGCCAATTAAAATTAAAAAACCCGGACCATAAATTGAAACTAAGATATTCCTATTACATTACACAATGGCCCATGCGATAAAAAAGGCCCAACAACTGTTCTATTACTTTTAATAATCTCTCATACAGTTAAATCGAGTCTTTTTCAATGTGTCAGACATCTGGAAAAAAAAATGTGTCGGGCACACAAAAATTCTCTTTTTCTCTCTCACACATACATAGACGTGCACGTGCGCACGTNATATTCCTATTACATTACACAATGGCCCGTGCGAAAAGAAAGGCCCAACAACTGTTCTATTACTTTTAATAATCTCTCATACAGTTAAATCGAGTCTTTTTCAATGTGTCAGACATCTGGAAAAAAAAATGTGTCAGGCACACAAAAATTCTCTTTTTCTCTCTCACACATACATAGACGTGCACGTGCGCACGTATATAATGCAAGTGATTGTTAATGTTAAAGAAGAAATAACTAGAGCACTAAAATAAAAATAAAACATTATCAGCATGAAAAATATTCTTCAATAGAGATCATGCTATTCCTTTAATCTAATATAGGTTCAAAATATTAAAAATAGATAAAGTGTTTGACTCTTAATTTAGTTTTAGAAAATTAAATTCTTTATGTGATGAAAGTTTTAAAAAAATATGAATTTGACCTTGGTTTTTTTTTTTTAAACGTATTATTTTTTCAATTTTGGCCACCAACGGTACTAAGGAAATTAATGACTGAAGTACCCTTCGACTTTTAATGTTAGTATGAGATTTGACCACTAACGATTTTTTTTAATTTTTTTAATTTTGTTTAAAAAATTCTTATTTTGAATTTGCTTCTTGTATGATGTTGAAGCGTACAGTGTCACCAGTTTTTTTTTACAAATTTTTGATGTACATACATCTGGAACATCCATAGGTACCTGTTAATTTTTTTGTACACTGATTTCTAGCGCCAAATTTTTTAGTTTTCATGTGAATTTTTTACATTATTCGAAATTTTCTGAGTATGGATTGTCATACAATGTATTATACTAAATATTGTGCAAAAGCGTTAAACAAATAAAATAATAGAATAAATGATGTTAAGAGTAAAATTGTATATTTATTATATAAGATGTAATAGAACAAATGGTTATTTGTGAAACTCATTATAATAACTACTAAACTAACAAAAATAAGAGAAGATTAAAATAATTTTTATTATCAATACTAATTTCTACGAATATTAGAAATATAAAGAATACATTCCTCAATCTCGTTCATAACAATTCTCAAAACAAAGATACCCTTGTGAACCCACTAAATCCAACAACTGTCATATGTAGGGATCTCCTTAGAGTTTCCTACCACATACAATAATATATTATATTAGTGGCTGATACTAACTATCGATAATAACGTGGTATTAGGCTTTTAGCCAAAAAAAAAAAGGTAAAAAGAGAAAATGTGGAGGAGGCGATGGTTTCTTTGCTTGCCAGTTTTACTGATTATAGTTTGTGTGTGTAACGGATAATCTTTGTCCAAACCCGCAAGAAAAGAATTTCTCGGCTTCTTCAACACAAGATGGCAACCCATCACCGACCTACGACCACCCACTCCTTACGTCTCTCTTCCTCTCGGGTTTAACTATAATATTAAAAAATTAATTTTTAGTATTATAATTTTTTTTTAATAAAAAGGTTGTCCATATAAAACTTTTTTATTTTATTATTTTACTATACTCAATTCCTCTCTCTCTCTCTCCTGATACCCACCGCCTACCAACCATGGCCACCCCCTCTCCCTTGCACTCCTCAAAACAGACTTTTGCCTTATAAATTCCAATTCCAGCAAACTGATAAAAAATCGCAAGATAATCAATCAGAACAAGTGCAGAAGCCGAGAGTGGCTACACGGACGATAAACAACCAGAAGCTGAATTCTAAAGGTTTGGAAGGCGGTGAAATTTCAATGGGTCTTATGCTTTCTCCGAAATCCGGCATCGAGCTTATGCAGAACTGTGATTTGCCTCCACCCCTCAAAGTCTTTTCCGGCCCGGATAAGAAAGTCATACCACCCATGAATAGTTTGATAGGCCAGGAAGAGGAGGCGGTGGCATTTCCGATGTCGAGAAGTGGGTCCGAGGGGGAGAATTTGGAGCTTTTAAGGGCCTTGCGGCTATCACAAACAAGAGCAAGAGAAGCAGAGAGGAAAGCTCAAGTGCTGGTTAAGGAGAGAGATACTCTTTCCAATGGTCTGATAAAAGAATCGGCTCAATTGTTTGCTTACAGGCAATGGGTGAAATTGCTTGAAGTTCAAGTGTCTGTATTACAATGGCAGCAGCAGCAGCAAAAGCTATTTGGCAGTTGTTATGAAGATTCAACGGAGGAAGATGATGCTAATGAAGAAGGCAAGGGCAGGATGAGATGGTTCGTGGCTTTGGCCTTTTGTTTGGGTATTGCTGGTTTTGGCCTTATGTTTAATTGGAGATACCTGTTTTGATGTTGCCCTTTTCACTTTCACACATATACAGTCGATTTTCCGACTCGCCAAAAACAATCTCTGTGTACACGGGATAAGATCTGTAAATCTGGCAGGAAATCCCAATGGACTGGTCTTTTCTCTCTCTTTTACATGGCTCAGAAAAGTGAACCAGCTGTTTATATGATCATATCTGTCAATATTCTGCTCTCTTAAATGAAAACCATGGGCAAGAGCACATTTTCAGTTGTACAATGGATTACTGAATATTTTTTCTTTTCTTGTAAAAGAAAATCGTCCTAGTATATGCACATAATCAACCACAAACTAAGCACATTAATTAAATTCCAGTTTTTACAACTCAAACATGCTCATACTCGAAGCATATAAATTTACGTCTCGCTCTTGTTGACGACAGAAACAATTCGTGCAGAGTGTCAATGGATTTTAGTGGCATAAACTATATATTATCTCCACCCAATTGGATTAATTGTGCTATAAACACATCGTTTCAAGCCATGCAGCAGGCCAACTCTTCAACCCGAGAACGAGAGAGAGAGAGAGAGAGAGAGAGCACTTAACTGCATTCACTGAACATATGCGCAGAGATAACCCTCTCCGCACCTACTTGTAAGCTGTTCTGTGTACATGTTCTAATATATACATCCGANCATATGCGCAGAGATAACTCTCTCCGCACCTACTTGTAAGCTGTTCTGTGTACATGTTCTAATATATACATCCGATAGATATCTATATGTACACACACACCTAAATAAGAACTATATGTACAAGTCTTTATTCCAGTACGCTACTTCAGATCTAAATAATAGCAAGGTGTACGGACCTTAAATGGCTATAGCAATCATCACTGCTGTCAAAGAACTCCAAGCAGGCCCAGCAAATGTGCCGTCCACACTTGCATTGGACATGGTTGCACCCATCCACCTTCTCAATCGTAAACCCACAGATAGGACACTTCTTTACATGCTCTTTCCCATGGCACCACTCCTTCAGAGAGGAATCTGGATCTTCCTTGAACTCCCGGTACTTCTCGCACGATAGGTATGGATGATACTCCATGTGACACCGAGTACACGTCTCAGCATAACATGCACCACAGAGAAATGGCGTACCATCGGTCCCTGAATCAGCCACTCTATAAACTGAAGGACAGTCAGGCGATGGACAAAACCTGTAAGTGCCCCCACTTGCGGCCACAAATGCCCCTAATGAAGCCCGGAAAAGTTCCTCCAGCTTCTCACTCGACAAAAGTGATCTCAAGTCAGCGAGCAAAATAAGAGCACCACAACCCTGATGGGTACAACGCATAGGAAAACCTCCCTGGCTTCTGATTGCAGACTCGCACTGCTCCACTAAGCACAACCGACAGAACTCATGTCCACAGTCTTCAAGTCGGTAACCATCCTCCAGTTCACACAAGCAAATAGGACAGGCAGTTTCAACATCGACACTCTGAGCCGGTGAGCCACATGTCTGTGCCACCTCGTACAGTATAGCTTCCACTTTTTGTTTCAACTCCTTGCTACCATGAACAGAGATGATATGTCGCCGGGTATTTAGAGTGAATTCTGCATCAGGAACCCTCTCTTTGAGCCCGTGAAGATCTGGACCAAACTTTGCAACCACTTCCTTCATGAGATCAGGAGGCAGAACTCCACCTCGAAGATAGATTTCAAGTTGCTTATTTTCATGCATTGCGAGAAGGGATTGAACTAATCTTTGCTGTGCCATGTTAATCTTGTTTGAAGAACCGAAGACCCTTAAATTGAGGTTATGCCTGTCAAAAAGAATAAAAGTTCCAGTATCTTGCTGAATTGACTTCATGAGCCCGATCCCATCTCTGGAAAATAGAACTTGTAGAACTGTGGGAGTGAGACCGGCATGGTCTATGATGTTGCCTTTCATGAGCTGCTCTAAAGGTGATCTCAATTCAGCCACAGTTTTTGTAGCATTGGCAGATATCCTCACACGATAGGAACCATTCTCCGTCCTGTCAAGATTGCACTCTGCACCTGTGAACAAGACATGCCTGTCAGCACCACAATGCCACATCACAGTGTTACGGTTACCAATATTATATATATATGTATATAGATGACACTGTTTTGGGGGGCCCATACTTCCGTGACTGCAAGTAGAATGTAGAAATAAAGATGAGGGTTACAAACAAACTGCACAAAACAGGGGTCATAAACTCCCTTTTGCATACGAAAGCTCCTTAATTGCAACCTTGGTTAATTGTTGAGATCTGCTGAGATACAATGTATTGTATTTCAGTACTATCCAGCATTCACAAACCACATATATCATTCCTTCTTTCCTTTCTGTGTGTTGAGCAGTTCAAAAGTTTCTTAAGGTGAGTTAGGGAAAAGTGAAATGATAGGTTCAAATCTGAGTCACTTTGTGCACAACTTGCCAAAAGTTTGGCTTGTAATACCTATCCCAACACCCTAAAATGACAAGGACCAAACTGTGGCCACCTTTCTACCTCTGCTATGGATTTATCTCACTCAGCATGAAATATGAAGTTTTTTAGGCAGAGGGGGTAAGAAGCGATCACCTGCATATAGGTGGAGACCAACTTGAATATAAGGGGTCCCACCTACCTAAATACAAACTAGATGATTTCTTCAAAAGTAATGGCTAGAGAATAGGAACTAGAGAAAATCTGCACCCTATTTTCAGATCTCAGAGTCTGTTTGGTATATCGACTAGGGACCTACACCCACCACCATCCCTCCCTCTGCACCACTGACCACCACCACCCTCCTCCATCGAGCAAGCCATTATCATCACCTCCAAGAAAACCAGAACCATGTCACCTCCATCAAGGAGAAATAAGCATTAAAAACAACACGAAATAAGTAAAAACCAGTAACTGTTCACCACCAATTTTTTTTTGGGAAGGTATTCACCACCCCTTCTTCCATGCAGAGACTTAATACTCTTTAACCCAACTAAGAATAAATAGTAGAGTTCTGTGATAATTTTCATGTGATTGTATATCCGAATTAACAGGGTTATGGAGTTTTCCTTACCAAGTAATAAACAATCAAATCAAAAAAGGAGGGTAGATTCATAGATGTGAACCCCACAACCTTAATATATGGGTAAAAAGTCAATGTGACTCGAGAAGGCATACAAGGATGGTAGTTATATGATTGACATCAGAGGGATCAACTATCAGGACCTCACATGACAACATTAAAAAAATCCAACAGAAAAAAAGNCAAGTAGAATGTAGAAATAAAGATGAGGGTTACAAACAAACTGCACAAAACAGGGGTCATAAACTCCCTTTTGCATACGAAAGCTCCTTAATTGCAACCTTGGTTAATTGTTGAGATCTGCTGAGATACAATGTATTGTATTTCAGTACTATCCAGCATTCACAAACCACATATATCATTCCTTCTTTCCTTTCTGTGTGTTGAGCAGTTCAAAAGTTTCTTAAGGTGAGTTAGGGAAAAGTGAAATGATAGGTTCAAATCTGAGTCACTTTGTGCACAACTTGCCAAAAGTTTGGCTTGTAATACCTATCCCAACACCCTAAAATGACAAGGACCAAACTGTGGCCACCTTTCTACCTCTGCTATGGATTTATCTCACTCAGCATGAAATATGAAGTTTTTTAGGCAGAGGGGGTAAGAAGCGATCACCTGCATATAGGTGGAGACCAACTTGAATATAAGGGGTCCCACCTACCTAAATACAAACTAGATGATTTCTTCAAAAGTAATGGCTAGAGAATAGGAACTAGAGAAAATCTGCACCCTATTTTCAGATCTCAGAGTCTGTTTGGTATATCGACTAGGGACCTACACCCACCACCATCCCTCCCTCTGCACCACTGACCACCACCACCCTCCTCCATCGAGCAAGCCATTATCATCACCTCCAAGAAAACCAGAACCATGTCACCTCCATCAAGGAGAAATAAGCATTAAAAACAACACGAAATAAGTAAAAACCAGTAACTGTTCACCACCAATTTTTTTTTGGGAAGGTATTCACCACCCCTTCTTCCATGCAGAGACTTAATACTCTTTAACCCAACTAAGAATAAATAGTAGAGTTCTGTGATAATTTTCATGTGATTGTATATCCGAATTAACAGGGTTATGGAGTTTTCCTTACCAAGTAATAAACAATCAAATCAAAAAAGGAGGGTAGATTCATAGATGTGAACCCCACAACCTTAATATATGGGTAAAAAGTCAATGTGACTCGAGAAGGCATACAAGGATGGTAGTTATATGATTGACATCAGAGGGATCAACTATCAGGACCTCACATGACAACATTAAAAAAATCCAACAGAAAAAAAGGCCCCAGGCATATAATCCATAACTATCAACCTTGAGAACAAAAGGATAAAACACAAAAAGAAGAATCTAATTTTTTGCAGGAAATCAAATGATTAAGCAAAGTGATATACCTTTTCGATGCCGGAGGCTTGTAAGTAAAGAATGTAGCTGCTCCCTAATAACAGAATAGACAGGAGCAGGGCATGATACCGAGCTATGAAACATCTGCTGGCACTTTATCTTCTGCCACATTAGACATCCAGGCAATACTTTCCCTTCAAGTTGCTCCAAAGCTTTTGCAGCCTCCAAGTGTAGACTTCCATCAAACATGATCAAGGCTTTCATGAAAGAATCCTTCGGTTCTGGTGGGAAGACCTGGACCTGGATACAATTACCCAGAAGATTCCCTTTAGGCATGAAGGATGAAATTTCTTTGAGAAGTGCTTCTTCACAAGCATCATGTGGAGGCTTATCTACAGCTTCTCCTCTCACCAAGAAAAAATCCTTGATGTTCCTGTTTGTTGCAGTCCTTAATACCTCAAAAATTTCAGCTTCAGAAAGTTCCCTATCTAGTCCATATACTACAACACTGTCATTGTACTTTTTGCTAACTTCACAGCGCAGATATTTTCCCCCAATTAGCAAGTTGGAGAGATCATCAACCATGAAATTAACATCCTGCAGATCACACTTCAGAATTGCTAATCCCTTACTGTACCTACGAGGCCAATAAACTCTGGCTTTGACAGCAGAAAAGGATAACATTTTATGATCGCCTCCATGAGTGCCCTGTGAAGGAACTATCTTCAGTGAGGCACCACCGAATTCAACAGGATTCATCTCAGTAGATTTCTTAGCAGCATCAGGTGTCAGAAATGTTACTCTTCCCCACTTCTCCTTGTCCCCTCTATCCTGTCCAATGCCTGTGAACTTTTGCAACGCACAAATACTACTCAAGGTGCTTCTCTCCAGAAACATCACAAGCTCTTTATCATCAACAGCAGTTACACCCGAAAGATATACATCAACAGTCAAGTATTTTTTTTCAAGCTCCAGATGCTTAATCTCGGCACCAGCTCCAAACAGAGCTATAGAAGGCAAGACACCAAGTCCGCCATGATACAAGTATTTCTCCAGACATTCATTCTGCAACCATTTTCTTTCACACTCCAATGCATCATGTACAAGGCTACAAACCTTCTCCATGTCTTGTGAAGAGGCAAATACCCTAACTTCATTCGGATCAACATTAACTTCAATGCCAATCCTTTCATCCATACAAACCGTTCTCACATGTGAGACGAGATGAAGCAGGCCAGTCCTATACCTCCCACAGAGCTTTTTCAGTTGCATACGGCCAATAACAGTCAAAACCCTAGCTTGCAACCTCCGATTATCCATCTTAAAGACATCAAACGAAGGAGGCGGGGAAAGGGTAGACAGAGTGTCAAAGTCAAAAGCAGTTACACAGACTAAATATTGGTTAGATATTGAGAGGATTTCACCAAAAACTACCCAACCAGGTCTTTGACTGAAGATTAACAGAGAACATGAAGGATGTAGCTGAACATGTTTTCCAGTTGCCGCTACTTCATAACCTAGGTGATCATATCCAGAGTACAGAGCAACATTTTCAGCAAGGCATGAGAGGATAACATTTTGCAATGTTCTATCATGCTCGGAATGCACCAATGGGTTCCAATACCAGTAAGTAGGAATAATGATATTAAGTTCATTTTGAAGACAAGAAACCAGTTCTTGGACCATATCTTGGCATCTCCGCATGGATTTGGCATTGATGCTATTCTCCCAACACCACTTATTCCTCCTATCTAGAGGCACACCCTCCCACTCCTTGTAGACAGAGAGCAAAGTGAACAGATCACCATTACGGTGGCAAAATTGCACCTTGAGGCAATCAGATTTTAGCTTGTCTTCTTCATTACCTACTCTGCAGAATATGCTACTGGCATTGGCCATAACAGCAGCAAGAACAACTCCCTCTTTTCCTAACTGATGGTCATAGCATTTCAGAATTATTTTACCAAGCCGAGGTTCAATACCCAATCTAACTAAATTCCATCCGTCCTTGGTTAATTCATAAACATCATTTTTCAATTTAACAGCACCTAACTGAATAAGATTCCTGATGGCCATCTCAATAGCTTTTGCACTAGGTGCGTCAACAAAATCAAAACCCAGGACATTTGTGATGCCCAATGCAAGAATCCTCAGAACCGCAACACCAAGATGAACCCTACGAATCTCAGGTTCCTGATGAGGAGTCATCAGCTGAAAATCATCTTCCGAGTAGAGCCTATAACATGTCCCGGGCTCAGTTCTCCCAGCACGGCCAGCCCTTTGATTAGCAGAACTCTGACTAATCCAGCAAACTTTGAGGACATTCATTCCGGTGCCAGGTTCAAACCTGCACTCTTTCACCATTCCAGAATCAACCACATACTTAACCCCTGGAATTGTTAATGATGTCTCAGCAAGATTTGTGGTAAATATAACTTTCCTTTTTCTTGGGTAATTGAGGAAAACTCGAAGTTGATCTTCATGAGATAGTTTTCCATGTAAAACTAATGGAACTGCAGAGGGAGCCTGGAAATTCTCACAAGCCCACTCTACTTCCATCTGAGAAGTCAAGAAGGCAAGTATAGTCCCTTCTCTCTCAGTTCTATGGATTTCTGTTACCATCCTGACTACATCAGAAGCATATGAAGCCACGATACCAGAACCAGCACCACTTTCAGACACAGAAGGGACATATCTGATATCAACCGGAAAATTTCTGCCCACCACATTGAAGGTGCCACAACCAAAAAAGAACTCAGCAAGCTGCTTTGCATCTGCTGTCGCAGACATTATGATAAGCCTCAGATCAAGCCTCCGACAAAGTAACTTTTTAAGCAACGCTAAAAGAATATCAGTATTTATGCTTCTTTCATGTGCCTCATCAACAATGATGCACGAAATCCCGGATAAACTCTTATCATTCATGTAGTGCTGCAGTAAGCAGTGGTCTGTCATATATATTACCTTGGAATCAAACTGCTGAGCAGAGGAATATGTTGGATAACAGATGATTGAAGTATCTTGATAGCATCCAAAACTTTCCTCTTTAACCCTTTGTGCCAATGAGATGGCAGCAAGCTTGCGGGGCTGAGTGCATATTATAGACTCATTTCCAGCCACTCCTGAATCAGCAAGGAACTGAACCAACTGTGTACTCTTCCCTGAACCAGTCTCCCCAATCAACACCATTATCTGCGGAAATGTTGAACAACAAAAAACCGAAAAAAAAGAAGAGATTTAAAGGGAAAATCAATACATTCAACATTAAAGAATTTAAAAATCAACTTAAATTATGAAGATCATAGTTTGGAGAAAGAAAAAAAAATTGCAGTATTATTTATACATGGTAAGCCTTCCTGTTGCATCTTTCAGTCTTATTCACAACCTGATGTGTCATTTTACCATATAGAATGCTGCTATACATGCATGGCAAAGAAGATGAATTAACAGAAAAGTTTAATCATGCAAAGCAGATAGCAAGATCCAAAAAAGGCTTATGACAGAATGAGAGACCTATTAAAATGAGGTTCTTAAGGATGATATAAAATTCAACTGCCCTGACAAAATGCCAGGGATTCTCCACAACCTTCATCCCTTTCTTCCTTCTTGTCCAAGTATAAATGTGTAAAGTGAACCCCCTCATATTACATGAACGAAAAGGTACTTGACGTCACACAGGTTTCTTCAAACGCTTCCAAATCTCGGTGCAAAATTGATCCTGCTGAGTTTTCTGTGTCTTATGAGACAACGATACAAATGGATGGAAAACCACGAAGACATCTCAAAAACCATAAGGTTACTACTTGTATGATCCCTAAGATCCTGGAAGAAATTTAAGTTTCTGACATGAACTTAGAAGAGGTATTTTTTGATAGTCATTCATCTTATCTGCAATCACTAGTTCATTAGATTTTACCTCCCAAATTCAATGAATATCCACAGGATGATTCTCTCAACACCAAAAAAGATGATTTTATGATTCCTCGATACATGAAGAATATCAAGAAGATGATTCTTTGATCACCATGAAAGATAATAGTGACGTCCCTATATACAATGAATATTCGAAAGAAGATAACATAATCTCCACCACATAGCCCACCTTACAAGATCGAACAGACGGGCTGATTGGGAAGGGGTAATAGATTCTACTATTGGGTCAGGATGAACAAGTGGCTATGAAGCATGCTCCGTAAGAGATTGACCCTTCCCCGAATCAGTCCAGTCAGAAAGGGCCCTGTTGTCTAGACTACATTTCGGGAGTTTGAACACCATCCTATTTTCACACAATGAATTGATCCTATGCCCTCGAGCTCTTTTTGAAGATACATTTTAGATTGGTCAATGTGTAATGGGTGCGCTCATTAGAGTGAGCCAATTCCGACAAATAAGGGGCATAACGCAACAAAGATATCGTCATCAAGTCGTTGTTGCTAAAAAAACCTTGGTATGGTATTGACAGAGTAAACCTTGGTACAAAAGGTTGTCAAGTGGCCTATTAGGTGGCCAATTGAATGTTATACTGGTGTGAATGTTGCCGATAAAGTCTCTGGGTGTGATCTCCTTAACACCAATTACAAGGCATTCCTTGTGTGAGTATTAACATAATTGGTATTAATAAAGAAAGTGATGTTGGAACTACATGAGTTGAGGATCAAGTTTACATGGCCCGTATTAAAGCATTGCATGAATATCTTGTCAAGTTGCAAACAATAATGAGATTTTGGTGGCCAGAATCCTAAATCTAGGCGAAGACTCCAATATAGACAATATACTGACTTTCAGTGCGTATTCTTTTCATCCCATGGAGAATGATGAGCAAGATTGGCAAGAATCTGGGCATTTCTCATGCTAGAAGATTTTGATTTATTTTGTTTCTTAGTTTAATTATGAACCTTCTATTTATTTTATTTTCAAATTCAATTAGCATTTAAAATTATTTCGTTACCTTATTTGATTAGTGCTCTGCTATTATAAATAGCAAACAATATGAGCTCTTTTGGGGCTTCGATATTTTGGCAATAATATTGCAGAGAATGTTTTCTCTCTTTTTCCAATTGTTTTCATATTCTTAGGAATCAACAAAACTATTAAAGACCTCTAGCCTGCGAGGATAATAAACAAGTCTAAGATTTTTGTGTTACTCTGGTTCATCCAATCGTGCTCCCTGTATCACCTAGGAAAGGAACAGGAAATTTAGTTGGTAGGCACACTGAGAACAAGAACAAAATCAAACGTTGTCAACAGATATGATATGCCTAACTCCCACTCAAAAGATGGGCCAAAAAGAAATGAAACATCCAATGAACCATGGATTTGATTTCATGATCCACTTATGCCAATGAATAGAATATGGCTGGTCTTCAACATCAACATATACCAATGTTGAGTGTGAGAAGAGACAAACGCTACCAAACCATTGTTAACAAATCAAATAACTGGAATAATTTATTTTGAGTAGCGGAATCATGACAGAGACAAAACTTAAGGGGTTAAAGAAGAAAAGTAATAGCAAATCATTCAAATACTGTGGGGTTCCCTCGTCAGGGCAAAGCTACCCAGCACCCAAGGGAACTAAGTATGAAAAATTTTTCATTGAAAGAAAATAATAATAGTATTCCACGTAGATCAACATGTTAATTAATAGTTACTAATGTTTGTATGCTTTCTGCCTTTTGGTGATGCCGGGGAATCTTATCATTTATATTGATCAGAAGAGCATTCCTTGGAAATGAAAGGGGATAATTTTAAACATTACCTCACTGATAGACTTTTTCCTTCGCTCAGCACATAGGTAGGATATGGTCTAGAACTAATAGCACAACCATGTGGAGCAAGCATTTATGAATACGTGGCTTCAAAAGTAAAGTTTATATAAGATAGATTGTAAAGAAGAATGCCATTAATTATGGCGTACACAAGAAGGACATGTGTAGAAACCCCTCTTCCAAAGAAACTTTCTACATTGGTTGGTATTGCCAATTTGCCATTAACGCGAGCTAATGTGCATTCTCAAAATAATGGCACAACTCATAAATGGCTTTTTAGTTTTCCAAAATTGCCATATGGCTCATTCATATAGATAAAAATCGGTATGGAATTGTAAGGAGCGCCATCCTTGAACACAGAGCCTCATAGCACATAGCTTGAAGCTTTGAATACTATAGTGCTTTTAACTCGCATTGTAGGTTAAAATTAATGTGTGCTACTATAAATCGCCGTTTTCTCAATGTTCCAATCATCAACCCTTATTCTTCTATAAATGAAGTTGAGTGCTTAATTTCCAGCAGTCAGAAAGCAAGAGTAATAAGTAGCAGAACATATCCTAGAGATAAAAAAACACATAAGCAAGCAAAAATATAATGAAAATCACCTGCTGGCAGTGTACTTGTGTAAGAATCTCCTGTCGGGACGCATAAATCGGCAACCCATCATCCAGTCTTCGACACTCCCTCATCATGAGACCGTGAATTTTCCCCCAATCAAACTCGCCACCGAACCTAAATACCTCCACCTCCTCCTCCACCTTCCCCTCCAAATGCCTAAGTATACAATTCATCCCAGACATAAACTCCTCAATCCTCTTCGCAATCAAATCCCTCTCGGACACGAGCCCTCCTTGCTTCTTCAGAAGTTCATTGCACTTACTCAGTTTGTTTGGCTTCCTTACCATCGCCGACACTTTATCAATCTCATCCGTCACAGCCCGGAGCTTTTTTTGCCAATTCTCAACGACATTTCCTTCCATAAACCCCTTCACTCGCTCTATAAACAGCGTTTTCAGTCGATCCCTAAGCTCATCCAAGTCGGACGGTACACGAACATTCGGTGTAAGCCTCGGCGTCAACAAGTGCCCACCGTCAAGTCTTGTTTCCCATAAAGAAACCATTGTCGCAAGCGCTTCACTCCATTGCTGGTAACACAAGGTCCCAGCTCTGAAACCCGTATCATAAACAAAAGAATTCTGGGGTTGATACTTGAATTTCGAGATCAAATTCTCCACATCGGCCTTTCTAGAACTCCGACTATCAGAACAAAGCTCGATAACGAAATTAGGGCGTTTGTGAGGTTTGACACTGTTCGGAGACCGGTCTGGAGGGCGGTCTCGCCGGTAATTCTGCGAAAATTGGGCCTTCCACTCCTGGTACGGCTGACTTACAGACCGGTAATTATTCCTGCCTGTTGTCGACATCTGCGAGCCGGTCATCGGCGCCTCAGGTTTATGCATTGTAGTGATTATACGGACAGATATGTAAAAAAAAAAAAAAAAGGAAAGCCCTAGAAAAAGTCGGACACTGAAGAGTGAGATGAGAGAGAGGAAGAAAGTGTTTAAGACGGTGAGAACAAGAGAGAGAGAGAGAGAAGAGAGCTGAAAAAGATCGGGGAAGAACGAAGGGTCGTGTTGGGGAAGGGTTCGGATTTTGCAATTCTTTTCTGGGTTTTTAATATTTCGAGGTTTTCCGGTAGATTTAATATTTATATAAAATTGGGTCTGGCGCGCTTTTAGAAACATTGGGTTGTTTGGGGCCAAAGTTTTCATCGTAGTGAGAGTGAGGTGTGAATGTGACGTATGTGAGACCCCACAAGCTTTTTTTTAACATGGACCCCACAAGCTCCCGGACCTGTTTTAGTCATTTTTATGAATTAAATTACATTTTTACCTTTTTAACTATGGACTTGATTTTTTTTTTTTGTCGAATTATTAAATTTTTCATGCTGACTCCTTAACTACTTATGTTATTTCACATTATCCCAAATAGAAAGGTCCGCTATTTTTTTAGATGAAAATTACTTACGGTTAAAAAAAAATCACATAGTTTGTAGGTAAAATACTAAAATGAAACATTTTCATTCATTCAAATTTATAAGTGGACTTTAATAATTGCAATAGTGTGAAACTAATCATTAGTGTAATATAAAAAATATAATAATTGATAAAATAATGCAAAAATAATCATAATTGAGGGGTCAAAATATAATTTGTCTCATCTGAATACAATGTTATTGGTCAATAGCGTGTATTCTAAGCAAAGCCTACCAAACCCCTAATGTAAAACTAATACCATATAAACAGATTTAAGCTTAATCTAAGTAAATTTAGATAGTAAATAAATAATTGATATGACTCTAATTAAACGCGGCGTGAATTTAGTACGATATAAATCTAACTTCGACAATTATGAATGAATCAGAGTGTAACTAAACAAATTCTTCCATGAACCAATATGACGTAGTCTATTGTTAGTCTTAGTTTTAAAACATATTTTTGATGATATTTTCAAAATTATACGATTAATTATGCAGTATCTATTCACAAAAATATTAGGTGGGTATTCTAACAATGGAAATGTGAGGTTTAGAGAAAAACTAAGAAAAAAGTTTAAGGACATGATAGAAAAGAAGACCCAAAGAAAATTGGCACAAGTCAAAAAGTGACGACTGGTGACTGATGAACCTGCCCAGGAAAATGTTCAGAAACAAAACATAAATCTGGAAAGTTCGTGATAAAAGTAAACATATATAACTTTTTTTCATTAATTTTGGCATTAAAGTACAATTTTTTTATAAGGTACTATCATGTGTTTTGGACACTATGCTCCTTCTACTTTTAAATAGAAGTGTTATGGTTATCTACTGATCAAAAAAAAAAAAAAAAACTTGAAACAATGATCAAGGAGAGAAATCAATTGAAATTCAAGTATATATATGAGATATTCTTGAATAATAACTTGTAAACGAAAAAAAAAAAAAAGAACATAATTTAATCAAATTGCAGCCCATTGTCTAGTTAACGGAAAGAGAAAAAAAAAATACCTTTTTTCAACTTGCAATTGCAAAGAACCGACTTGCCTGCAGTTGCAAAGAGTCGTCAAAGATGACTAATGATAGAGTAAATATAAAAGATAGGTGGAATGACAAACCTAGCAAACGAGAGAGAGAGAAAGAGAGAGAGAGAGAGAGAGAGCAACTTACCTGAACAGAAGCAGCAAGTTGAGTGATGTGGGAGAAGTGTTAGTGTAGGTGGCTCATATTTTATATATGGAAAGCTCTATCAAATTTGAAGGTAATAAGTCGGTTTGTCAGAGCCTGAATGAACGTGTTTTCTATATTTGTCCTAATTAGGGTTTTAACCTATATAAATTAAGTTATAATCTTACTTTTAGTGTGGAATAATAACAAGGGAGTAACTTTTTCGTAGACGTAAACAAATTGTCAAAACACATAAAATTTTATGATCTTTCTTCTAATTAATTCTATTTTTTTGATTGTTTATCGCACACACAAACCACCACAAGAAGAAACGAAGCAACGACCAAAAAGATGAAGTGATGTAACCTAGTAAGGGTAGCACAACAAGGTAATTTATTAACTTAAATTAGTCCTCCTGAGTTTTATTTAACTTATATAGATAAGTTAAAGTTGATTTTTCAAATCGGATTGAGATAAATCCGAGTGAAATTTTCTGTGTTTTTTTAATAACCAAACATGAGATATATGAGCTCCACATACTTTTTAATCTTATCCTACTAGAATTATCTCCTTTTAACCTGCAATTCAAACATAGATACATATTAAACAATTGCCATAAATCATATTTTCCTTTAAAAAATATTAAATCATATTCTATTTGGGATCGGGTGGTGGGTGAGTAACATAAAAGAAAAGAGTGATAATTTTTTTCCTAATTGGAAATTAGCTTTTATGTAAATTCGGAAATAAAACAATACAATAATGTTGTTGATTTAATTTATTAGATTTAATCAATTATTATTGTTAAATTGATAGTAAATCTTATCCAATATCAAGACCCACACCTAATACACCGGCATTCAATGCTCTACCAATTGAGCTGCATACACAAAGAAAAAGATGTAATAGTAAATAACGGGGTGTAAGCAAATTAAGTCGAAATGTCAAAAACAAATGGCTGATGAAGCTGCCTAGGAAAATAACACATCTAGAATGAGCAAAAAGTCTCCTCCTGCCGTGGTATCACCGCTATAATAAATATTTTTTCATCCTATTAGGCCCTTTGATGGTTACGTATTATGCAATTATCATAAATTTATACTTTCCTTTAAAAAAATATTAAATCATATTCTATTACACCAATTCATTCTCTTCCCTTTGCTTAGGAGTTGGTGGTGGTTGAATAATAGAAAGGAAAAGAGTGATAATNTGTTGGGGAAGGGTTCGGATTTTGCAATTCTTTTCTGGGTTTTTAATATTTCGAGGTTTTCCGGTAGATTTAATATTTATATAAAATTGGGTCTGGCGCGCTTTTAGAAACATTGGGTTGTTTGGGGCCAAAGTTTTCATCGTAGTGAGAGTGAGGTGTGAATGTGACGTATGTGAGACCCCACAAGCTTTTTTTTAACATGGACCCCACAAGCTCCCGGACCTGTTTTAGTCATTTTTATGAATTAAATTACATTTTTACCTTTTTAACTATGGACTTGATTTTTCTTTTTTGTCGAATTATTAAATTTTTCATGCTGCCTCCTTAACTACTTATGTTATTTCACATTATCCCAAATAGAAAGGTCCGCTATTTTTTTAGATGAAAATTACTTACGGTTAAAAAAAAATCACATAGTTTGTAGGTAAAATACTAAAATGAAACATTTTCATTCATTCAAATTTATAAGTGGACTTTAATAATTGCAATAGTGTGAAACTAATCATTAGTGTAATATAAAAAATANAAATTTATAAATGGACTTTAATAATTGCAATAGTGTGAAACTAATCATTAGTGTAATATAAAAAATATAATAATTGATAAAATAATGCAAAAATAATCATAATTGAGGGGTCAAAATATAATTTGTCTCATCTGAATACAATGTTATTGGTCAATAGCGTGTATTCTAAGCAAAGCCTACCAAACCCCTAATGTAAAACTAATACCATATAAACAGATTTAAGCTTAATCTAAGTAAAGTTAGATAGTAAATAAATAATTGATATGACTCTAATTAAACGCGGCGTGAATTTAGTACGATATAAATCTAACTTCGACAATTATGAATGAATCAGAGTGTAACTAAACAAATTCTTCCATGAACCAATATGACGTAGTCTATTGTTAGTCTTAGTTTTAAAACATATTTTTGATGATATTTTCAAAATTATACGATTAATTATGCAGTATCTATTCACAAAAATATTAGGTGGGTATTCTAACAATGGAAATGTGAGGTTTAGAGAAAAACTAAGAAAAAAGTTTAAGGGCATGATAGAAAAGAAGACCCAAAGAAAATTGGCACAAGTCAAAAAGTGACGACTGGTGACTGATGAACCTGCCCAGGAAAATGTTCAGAAACAAAACATAAATCTGGAAAGTTCGTGATAAAAGTAAACATATATAACTTTTTTTCATTAATTTTGGCATTAAAGTACAATTTTTTTATAAGGTACTATCATGTGTTTTGGACACTATGCTCCTTCTACTTTTAAATAGAAGTGTTATGGTTATCTACTGATCAAAAAAAAAAAAAAAAACTTGAAACAATGATCAAGGAGAGAAATCAATTGAAATTCAAGTATATATATGAGATATTCTTGAATAATAACTTGTAAACGAAAAAAAAAAAAAAGAACATAATTTAATCAAATTGCAGCCCATTGTCTAGTTAACGGAAAGAGAAAAAAAAATACCTTTTTTCAACTTGCAATTGCAAAGAACCGACTTGCCTGCAGTTGCAAAGAGTCGTCAAAGATGACTAATGATAGAGTAAATATAAAAGATAGGTGGAATGACAAACCTAGCAAACGAGAGAGAGAGAGAGAGAGAGAGAGAGAGAGAGAGAGACCAACTTACCTGAACAGAAGCAGCAAGTTGAGTGATGTGGGAGAAGTGTTAGTGTAGGTGGCTCATATTTTATATATGGAAAGGTCTATCAAATTTGAAGATAATAAGTTGGTTTATCAGAGCCTGAATGAACGTGCTTTCTATATTTGTCCTAATTAGGGTTTTAACCTATATAAATTAAGTTATAACCTTACTTTTGGTGTGGAATAATAACAAGGGAGCAGCTTTTTCGTAGACGTAAACAAATTGTCAAAGCACGTAAAATTTTATGTTCTTTCTTCTAATTAATTCTATTTTTTTGATTGTTTAGCACACACACAAACCACCACAAGAAGAAACGAAGCAACTACCGAAAAGATGAAGTGATGTAACCTAATAAGGGTAGCACAACAAGGTAATTTAGTAACTTAAATTAGT